AGGTTATGAGTCACATGATTGAGGAGACTAGAGGCGAAAACAAGAAACTTAGAGAAGAATTGTCATTGGTTCAATCCAAGTTATTAGAAATTGAGGCAGATAAAGTGAGTACTATGCTTATGATTAATGGCGCATTTGATAAAGAGAATACTGAGAAGGTGTTATTGGAAAAATCGCTCAAAGTCTTAAATTTTGTTGACAATTCGATTAACAAAGAACACCTGGGTAACATCAAGACTATTCCTGTAAAAAACAAAGCTCCCATAGTATCTGTCTCCCTAACTAAATCCGAAATGGTTAAAAACATATTAAAAAAACGTCGTGAGGTCGGAATCTTGAACACGCATTCCTGTGGAATAAATACATCGAACACAACAATATATATCAACGAATACTTATCGGATATCACTTACAATTTATTAAAGGAAGCAAAAAAATGCAAGGATCATGGATTTAAATTTGTTTGGTACCAAAATGGTTCAATGGTTCAGAGCTCTTACGTAAGAAGGAGGGGGACAAAATTATTAAAGTACGTAACACACTACATTTGCAAAAAATCCTTTCTGAAATTGAAAAATGAACAACTAAAACTTTATTTAGGAAAGACTTTTTTTTATTACTATATTTTTTTTTTTTTTTTTTTACGGATTGTCCTATCACGCTCGAGAAGCGGCAAGTGCGCGGAAATGTCGGTGTATGTTGGTCTTGAAACGGTTCAGGTTGTAACCTGCAGGAAAAACCGTCGCAGGGAGTTTATTCCACAGCGATGCTGTTCTCCAGAGATATGAATTCTGATATAATGAGGTTCTCGCCCACAGATCTGCGATGTTCAAGACCATCCAAGTTACGAGTAAGTGCGGGGTCATTGATCAGCTTGATAGCTCGTTTTTGCACGGTGTTCAAAAGCATTAAGGTATGTTTGGGTGCTGCACTCCATATATGTGAGCAGTACTCCATAGTTGGTCGAATCTGGGCTTTGTAGAGTTTCAGCAATTGGCTTGGTGTGTACAGATGTCTTGTACGAAATAGCACCCCCAGCTTTTGGGACGCCCTTTTAGCAATATCTGCCACGTGACTGTGCCAAGACATGTTGGTCTCTGCAGTAACCCCCAAGATGTTCAACTGACTCTGTAATGTGACAGCACTTCCAGATAGCATGATGTTTGGCTCACCGGTGCTGGTCTTTTTTGAAAACAGAGCTGCTTGGGTTTTCTGCGCGTTGAACTGTACAAGGTTTTTGTTACCCCAGTCCTCTATTATCTCCAGGTCGTTATTTATCTGCGATATTTGAGTTAGTCTAAGATGATGGAATTCACGTGCGGAAAGGCCTGTGGGTGGTATGAGTGAGGAGACTACATTGCCATCGTCTGCAAAGCAATAAAGTGGATTTACTGTTTTATCTATGAGGGCATTTATGTAAATCAGAAAAAGAGTTGGCGAAAGGATTGCTCCCTGTGGCACACCAGCATTTATTTGGTAAGATTTGGAGTTCTGGCCATCCAGTGCAACATAAATGGATCTGTCCTTCAGGTAACTTTCAAACCAAGTGCAAAGTTTCGGCGATAATCCCATTGCTTTGAGCTTGTTGAGCAGATTTTCATGCCAAACTTTGTCGAATGCTTTAGATATATCTAAGGCAATTGTTCTTGTTTCACCCCGCAACTCAATCGCTTTTTGCCATAAGTGAGTGACGTATGTAAGTAAATCGCCAGTTGACCTATATTTTCGAAATCCGTATTGCTTATCGTTGATAATTTTGTACTTTTCCAAGTACTTGGTTAGCTGATTGTTCACAACTCTTTCCATTACTTTTGATATCACCGGAAGTAGAGCAATTGGTCTATAGTTTAACGGATCTGTCTTTTTTCCTTTCTTTGGAATGGGTTGTACTGCGGCAGACTTCCATGATGATGGATATACTCCTTGCCTGTAAGACAAATTGAATAATTTTGCGAAAGTTGGGGTGAGTTCGTTGGCGCAATTTTTGAGTACTATTGCAGGAATGCCATTCGGACCCATTGCTTTCTTTGTATCTAGCTTTTAAGGGATTTTCGTATTTCTCTGTGACAAAAGGGTACCTCTGGCATACTATGGGAAACCCTTTCAATGAACGATGAAGTTTTTCCGTTTGGCACTGTTAGGTTGGAGTTGGAGGAAAACATTTGGGCCAGCTTATTGGCATTTTCCTCTGATGTTGTGGCTAAGTGATTATTTTTATCTGTAAGTGGTGGTATGGATGACTTGGTGAAGTTAGATCCAACAGCTTTTGCAAGAGACCAAAAGGACCTAGAACTACTTGGACAATTCAGCAACCTGTTTTTTATTCTTTGATTGTATGTTTCTTTAGCGGAGTCAATAGTAATTTTGCAACTATTTCTGGCTTCTATAAATTCTGTGTGGTTTTGAGCGGTTTGTTGTCGTTTCCAAAGGTTATATGCTCTGTGTTTTTTCTGTACAGCCGTTTGACACTGGCTGTTGAACCAAGGTTTTGCATTAGCTCTACGTTTAGTTGTATGTGGGATATATGCATGCATTTACTCTATATTCTAAAATGGAGCACAATAGTTTATTGGACTCTTATCGTTCATGTCAAAATAAAATCTGTGACATTGTTAATAACGTCAAAGGTTTTTCGTTGGATAGTAAAAATGGCTTAAACATTGTCCATGTTAATATTAGGGGGATCAAAACCAATCTTGACAACTTCTTATTATTATTAAGTTCATTAGAGGTAGATTATGATGTTATAATCATGTCGGAAACTCACATTATAGAAAATTATGCGGACTTTAATATTAAGACATATTCCATATTTTATAATGAAAGTACAATTAACTGGTGCGATGGTACTATTATTTATGTGAAAACTAACCTAGTATTGCAGCATAAAATTATAAATATTCAAAATCATAAATTTTTACGCATTGAGCTATTAAAAAATAATACCAAAATTGGGTTAATAGCACATTATAGGCTACCCTGTTTGGATGAAAAAATATATTCGGATATAATTTTGAGCTTGCTTACGCAAAATAACTTTTCTCCTTGCTCCATAGAAATTTTTTCGGGGGACACTAACATCAACTTATTAGATAGTAATAACGTACATGTTTTAAACTTTCTTAACTGTTTATCAGGATTAGGTTACTTTCCGTATATTACCCACCAGAAAAAAGTCTTGTTTGGATCACTTTTTTGTTAAAACTTCGAAAAAATGTGATGCTGCTGTTATTAATAGTGACATTACAGATCATTTTCCGATAATATTGAGTATGGAGTTAAGTCATAAAAAAACAACGCAGGTCAATAAATTCTATCAGAAAGTTGATTTTGGAAAGTTGCATACTTTCTTGAACAATGAATCTTGGCTAGATATTCTGAAGGATGCCCATCCTGATACTATTGCCGAAAAACTAACTAAAAAAATTAAACTCTACATAGAAAACAGTACTAAAGTTATTTCAATACCCAATAGGCATCGATGCCTAAAACCGTGGATCACTACTAACCTTGTTAAAAGTATTCGTTATAGAAATAAGCTAAAAAAAAATGTGGTAAGATCTAATTATTTTCCAGAAACTGTCAAAGAGTATACTCAGTATAGGTACTGCTTGACGAAGGTTTTAAAAAATGCAAAATATACGTACTACAAAGAAAAAATAACAAAAAACTTAAATGACCCAAAAAAAATGTGGCGTACTATCCAGGAGGCTTCGAATGAATATCAAGAAAACAGTAACATCAAACTGATAAAAAAAGAAAATGGTCAAACGACTTCCGATTTACCTGAGATAGCCAACGAAATGAACAACTTTTTCAGCACAATTGGTAAAAAACTTGCTTCTAAAATACAGCCTAGAGTACAAACTTATGATAATTTGTCTGTCAAATCCATGTTTCTTAAACCTTTAAGTGAGGCAGAACTTATTAATATAATAGGATCGCTAAAAAATACCAGCTCATGCGGAGAGGATGGGATAACCTCTAATATTTTAAAAGCAAATCATAAAAGCCTCATCAAGCCATTTTTACATCTGATCAATAGCATTTTTTCTTCAGGGTACTACCCAAAATTTTTTAAACAATCTGTTGTATTCATAAAAGCGGCGATAAAACAGATAAAAATAATTACAGGCCTATAGCCCTTTGCTCTGTCCTTAATAAAGTAGTTGAAAAAAGTATTAAAACAAAGCTGTGGGAATATCTTGAAGAAAATAAAATTATATCTCCGCATCAGTTTGGATTTAAGCCAGGAGTTAGTACTGATAATGCACTAAATGAAGTCAACCAATTTATTACTCAAAGCCTTAATAATAATCTTAAACCAATAGTGGTTTTTTTGGACTTGAAAAAGGCGTTCGATACGGTTGCACACCCTATTCTACTCAAACGCTTTGAAAGTATTGGAGTTCGTGGAGTAGTACATAGGTTGTTTGAATCTTACTTGGATAATAGGTGCCAAAAGGTGAAATTAAATGACATTTATAGTGAAGTTCAAAAAGTGGAGGTAGGCGTACCTCAAGGTACCGTGTTGGGCCCAATTCTGTTCTCATTGTACGTAAACAGCCTTTTAAAATTGAAAGTTAGCGGTAAAGTAGTATGTTTCGCAGATGATACTGCCCTGTTAATTGCAGGGAATTCATGGCTTGATGCGTGCACGAAAGCAGAACACAACTTACACAAGATAAAATGCTGGCTTGACTCAAATCAACTAACCTTATATATATATTGATAAGACCAAATTTATATCATTCTCCATGACCAAACGGGGCATGTCAAACAAAGATTTCCTAATCTTACACGAGTCTTCATGTAAAGTTACTTTAGACTGCAATTGTCAATCAAAAATTCAATCCTGTGACAGCATAAAATACCTAGGTGTTTACTTTGACAGATTCTTAAAATGGAATGTACATGTTGACTATGTCAGTAAAAAAATCAGAAAATTGGTTTATAAATTTTCTCAACTTAGATATAGATTATCTTCTCAATTAACAAAAATGGTCTATTATTCTTTGGCAGAGTCTGTTTTGAATTATGGTATTTTGTGTTGGGGCTCAGCTTGCGAATCAGTCCTGTTACCACTAAAAATAGCACAAAAGTATGTACTAAAAATATTATTATTTAAACCTAAGATGTATTCCACTGATCTACTGTTTTCTCAAACCGAATTCTTAAACTTGAGGCAACTTTATTGCGTTAGAGTCATACAGTTTTCTCTAAATTATAAATTGTTCCAAGATACAGTTAATCACTCGATACAAACTAGGGCGGTGACCGAAATAAAACTTTATACCTCTCTACAGAACTATTCAACCACTCAGAGAAATATTTTATTCACGGGACCCAGATTATTGAACTTGCTACCACTCGATATTAAAAATAAACAAAACTTAACAAAAACAACAAAAAATAAAATAAAAGACTGGGTGAAAATAAACTACACACTCATAAAAAAATCAATAGTCTGGTTCTCCGAATGAAAGTAAATATTTAGTAGATGGATACAATTGTTATTGCAAATATTTTTTTTGTTTTTCATTTGTAAGCTTTTTTTATGTATTAGAAATGTAAATAGGGATTTACTTGTAATAATTATTATATATTAGAGTGAATGTCAAAATGTCAAGCTAGGGATACACAATTCATCGTATTCCTGGCTCTGCATTCTACAAATTGGCAACCAATGTAATGAAACTTAGTATCAATAAACAAACAACTCGGAGAGTAAAACACAGAAATATTGTAGTCAATTAAAATATAGTTTTTCTACAAACGTCAGTAAAAGTGTCATTTTTAACGGATGCTGTCAGTGTCTAAAATGCCATTTTATCACACTGGTGTTAAAAGTGATTACTTTTAGCACTACGTGCTAAAAGTAATCACTTTTAGTGCGTTTGTAGAAAAAACAGTGTATGATATTTGTGCTAAAAGTGATTTTATTTTATTCAAAGGGATGGATCACTCCGCCTTCGGCGTCGTGTTCCAAACTTCCCTTTTCACAAAATAAAATGTCACTTTTAGCATTTATATCATAAACTACTATTATTATATTAAAATAATTAATGCTTGTTATTAATTAACAGGCGTCGGTAAAAATATAATCTTACAAGAAATTTGTTGGATTTCTAATAAGCATCAATTAACTGCTAAGAAAAATTTATATGATTCCAAGTAAAAATTTTCTATTTAGAGTTTGACTCGACTCACACTCTTGCCTTCACAATTTCTGGCTGAACATAAAAAAACTCTGCTTACATTTAACAATAATAAATTTACTGCTGGCCACACCTAATTACATATAAATCTTATTGGTCGAAAGAATTTACTTTAATTATGAACTTAGTTAAGGTAAACAAGCTGCTTCAATTTAAAAAATGTTACAAGTCCGGCATTGGTGCACGTTTTATATTAATAGGTCTAAATCTCGCTTCAAATGTAACCAATAATAGTTTAAAGGAACAATCGTTCACATGGATCCAGTATTCAGTATTTTTTTCGAGTTGATAACATAACGAGGAGTGTTGTAGTTTTCTATATAAAAAATTAATCAAAGCCAAAACACCATCTAAGCCATTTTAACGATGAAGTATACACATTTGCGACTAATTTGAACAATTTCATCGTCTGAATCGGGCTTTAGCTTGGCTTCAGGAAAAAATATACAGATCTTCCATCCCAGCCTAATTGGATTTTGCGATAATTAAATAAATAATAATAATAATTGTTTATACTCCGTAAAAAATGTATCGGTACCTATGATTATTTTGGCTATGTGTCGCAGTGTGTGCTTGACCAGTGAATATAAAAAATTCGTTCCGAAAGTTCCAATAGTTTAAAAAAAATAAAATGATTCCCTTCACTGAAATACAAACATCCTTAAACAGACTTACTCTACCAGTAAACCTGCGTGTTTACTTGGAGGATAATGAGATTGAAATAAGGTAGGTCTGAATTAAATTTTTTGACCGAGTTAAAAGAAAAAAATATATATTTCAGAAACGCAAGTCCATCACCCCCTTTACCAATGGCTGCGTTGGATTTTAATTATTTTGAGTGGCAACTACCATTCAATCCGAGGCTGTCACCTACACCTCTGAGGTAAAAAAACAAGTACCTCTATATAAAATAATAAAAATAATGTAAATTATTTCTAAAATTGAGATTAATAGTGTTGACTATGAGGGAGAGGGGAATGAGGAGTATGTTAATGAGGAACCTCAACCTCTAGACCTCAGGTATACTTTAATTCCCCAATATAAAATAATAACTGTTCAAACAAATGTTTTAGAATTATCAATGTTGATGATGATAATGATGATGATGAGGAGGAGCAGGTAATCAATGTTGATAGTGATGATGATGATGATGATGATAAGGAGATGGAGGTGATAATTATTGATGATACTGATGAAAACGAGATCAACGTGATAAATGTTGTTAATAATGATGAAAAGCCTCTTGATCTAAGGTAGAAACATCAATAAATAGTATAATTAATAATAATAATAATAATAATAATAATAATATAACCTTTATTAAACAAAATAGTTACAAATAGTTAGATATATGAACAAATTAGAATAAACGTGAAAAAAATTATCACTGAAGCACACTTGTGCTTGTGTGTGATAGTGTGTCATAGCCGGGAATATGTCTTAATTCGGTTTTTCAAAGTCTTAATAGGGTATACAAGTTACAGCAAGGGTTCAAGTCGATTTCGAATATTTTTTTTTTTTTTTTTTTATTATTATTTTTTTATTGAAAGATTTATTTGAAACAAAAAGCGTTTATCTTATGTATTTCAGGTCAATTAAATTATTAAAAGCCTGTCTACCTTTCAAAAATATCCAGTTTTTAGCTTTTACCTCAAAAGATTTGCAGCTTTCTATTAATTTTATGTCATTTGGAAGCATATTATACAATCTTGGCGAATAATACTTTAGACTTCTCTGGCCATGAGTTTTATGGGATATTGTCGGATATGCTAAGGCGTGGCGTCTTGTAGAAGCATTTTGGCCAATGTTGAAAGTAATTTTTTCTTTCTTGATATTTTTAAGAATCTCCAGACAGTAGAGCTGACGCAAATCTAGAGTTTTACTTTCAGAGAATAGATCGTTTGTTGGATATGTTCTATCTTTGCCAAAAATAATCAATAGTAATATAACTAGTGCAATGGAAATTATTGATAATTTTTGGGAAATTTGCTCGAATGCCTTTTTCAGTTAAAAACGCATGAGTGCAAATTTGTCGAAAATTATAAATATATTTCCATTGCACGAGTTGTATTTAATGAGAGAATTTCATAAATCAAAAATTTTAATTTTTTGTCAAAAAATGTCAAAACACCAGTTTTCGCACCAGTTAGTATGCAATTATCTGATAATTTGCACTAGTGCAAATTATCGCGTAATTACAATCTGATTGGTTCAAATCAACAATCAAAACATGTCAATTTATTGTTGGAATACCAGTTTTGACAGATGTATGAAATTCTCTTAATAAACCATTTCTGTATTGTATAAAGTTTCCGCAAATGAACTTCGGAAACACCTCCCCAGCCAAGAATACCGTATGTCAAATGACTTTGCACCAGATACATATATAAGATTCTTATTTGCTCAGTACTGAAAAAGTCTCTAAGGTACGTGAATTTTTAAAGAAGCCCTCTTATTTTTTGAACAAGTTCATTAATATGTAGGTCCCATCTAAGCGAGTTATCCATTTTGATACCAAGGTATTTGAAAGATGTTGTTTCTGGGATTTCATAGTTTGCAATTTTTATGTTTCCGAGTTTTGGAAGAAAATTTTTGTATGTTGAAAATGGCATGTATTTGGTTTTTTGTACATTTAACGTTAACTTATTATATTGATACCAGTTTTTTAATTCCACAAAATCATCCTCAATCTGAACTTTCAAAAGTTGCCAAGATTTTGCTTTACAAAATAAGACTGTGTCATCTGCGAAACAAATAAGGGTTCCTTCCAATTTAAGGCCTAGCATGTCATTTATATAGATGGTGAAAAGTAGAGGACCCAGAACAGTTCCTTGTGGCACACCAAATTCGATGTATCTTTCGTCACTCAGAGTTCCATCAATATTTATTGTAAAATAAAATAAATTCTATTTAAGAGTTATCATCATTGATTGAGACCATAGTTATTTTATGGATAAACTTGTATTTTGTAGTATGATAGTAATAAAAAACTTTTTTAAATTTCTTGCATTATTTGAATAAAAAAGTAATCGAACCTTAATACCTTTACTTTGGTGGGTGATCTGCAACAAATCGCGAATGGTTCATGTCGCTCAATCTATCTGAAATAACTAACTTTTTGATACAAAAAACTATTATTGATACATTTGAAATAATATGTAGAGATAATGGGTAAACTCGCTCTCAAAATATTGATTAGGGTATAGAGAATTAAAATTAGCAGATTTTTATGGCGGTTTTCATTGAAATTTGATGCACTGTATCTTGAACAAGTACCTATTAATTCGTGACATAAGTTTATTAGGCATATTTTGAAGTTTTTGAGGACAGTATTATCATTAGTTATTACCCTTTGTGTCTAGTCTATTATTCTATGTCTTTGTACTCCTCGAGCATGAGCAAATATTCTCTGGGTAAGTTTCTTGTATGTAGCTTTTAATGTATACTATCAATTAGCAAACTTTCGCAGACTAAACTCGTAGACTAAACAATAAATCCTGTGCTGAAATTTTCATTAAATAAATTGATAATAATAATTGCTTATACTGAGAAGAGTCCATCACGACTTCATAAGGAAGATATTTATGTTTATTTGGGTTGCTTAGAACAGAGAACATCACTTTCCTGCTAGGTATTAGCAACAAAATCAAGCATATGAACCTATAAAAGTTTTGTTGTATATTTTTGTTGGTGATTACTTTTAATATCAATATTTCTAGTATGGTAAAGTGCTGTTCTGTGTGTTTTTTTTTAATCGATCGATAACGAGACGGCGACGATGACACCCCGAATGGACGATAACTACGGTTTGAAGATGACACCATGAGATAAGGAGCTGCGGTCAAATTCCGGAAAAACCGCCAAAAATTTGGGGTTGGCCCGGGTCAAATCCCCGAAATTTCAGTTCAAAGGCGTCGCCGATCTAGAGATTTTCCCACGTTATCGAAAAAGTTCCCAGGCTCAGGTGCCCCTGTTACTACCGTTACTTCATAAGGAAGGTATTTATGTTTATTTGGGTTACTTAGAACAGAGAACATCACTTTCCTGCTAGGTATTAGCAACAAAATCAAGCATAATATAAACCTATAAAAGTTGTGTTGTATATTTTTGTTGGTGATTACTTTTAATATCAATATTTCTAGTATGGTAAAGTGCTGTTCTCTGTTCTAAGCGACAAAAACAAACATAGGTACCTATAAAAAGAATTAGGATAAGTAGTTCCCAGACTCGTAGACTAAACAATAACATCCTGTGCGGTAAACACGTCCTAACATGTCTGTAGCACCTTCCCTGGTGCTATTATTTAAAGCGGGCTCGCATGATATTCAAATTCATTCTAAGTGACCTGGCTGACAGCTCTATTACAGTTATCCGCAATCAGTGATTTATTTTTTGCTGTGTCAACACTGTCAAATTTTGTGTTAATACGTTTCAACATACTTACACAGTAAGTAAATTCACACATATTTTTGTAAATAAGAGTGTGAGAATTTTCGTTTTTAGATGGATTTATCAAAATTCAATAAAGTATCGCTTTTAGAAACCAAAGAAGTGGTTAGGCTTTGCGATTTACCGATCAACGTACCACAGACTATTTATTCGGTACAGTTGATGACAACCAAGTATGATGAAACGGCTTTGATAGAGTTGACTGACAATAAGGTATTTTTACCGAAAAGAGTGGTACCTTTGATAAGGGAAAATTTGCAAGACTTCGATGGGGGGAAGTACAGTATTGTCTACAAAGGCTTGAAAGATGTCAAGAAGCCCTCGATGGGCACAATTTTTGAATTAGTTAAGAGTGAGTACTTTTTAAAAAATGACTTCCAATATTATTACGTAATATTAAAGCATAAACCCTTGCTATTCCTATTTTTTAGACTAAAGATACTACCCCCTGTTGAGAAAAAGGAGAAAGATATAAAAATAACTGTAGACAACCAACCCCCTGATTATCCATAGACACCTATCAGCGTCAACATCATGAACCCAGAAGCGATTTCAACTCTCAGCGATGAAATTATAGAAAAATTCCAGATGGTTGAGACGATATTAAAAACTGATTTTACAACCCAAGAAAGAGATTTTTGGTTGAAGCAGGTAAAATCACATATTAGACTTTCCAATAGGGCTATTAAAAAATCGGATTTACCTGTAGGCACCTTGCGCAAAATACAAACAAATATAGCTCATTTGAAAAAAATACAAAAAAATAGTCGAGAAATTGAATAACAATAATTATACTGGATTGGGATTTGAACAGGAAAAACGTAGTAACCGTGTAATATGGGAGGATATTATTTTAGTTTTTAATAGTAGAGTTCGTACTGGGGTAAATATTAACTTGAAACATAAGGATGTTGATCAGTTTTTAAATGATGCATTTTTCCTATTCCAAAGTAGAATTAGCAATGCTCTGAAAAAGATGCTCATGCTTAAGGTTAAAACTTGTTTTTGTGGTGAGTTGATAAGAAAGTCAGGGGATACTGAAACGATTGAGAAAAAAAATATTTTAATACCAAAAATAAGGTGATGGTGGAACGGATTTAAATCAATGGTTCCAAGTAAATGTAAAAGATTCTATTTTTAATGGTTTGTCAGAATTCCAAGAATCAGGTAGTGGGTGGGCGCTTAATGAAATTCTTAGTTTAGAAATTAACATTAATAAATATGAAATTGGAAACGGGGTCGGCTCATCCTACATTAAACTACCAGAAAAAATATCAAAAAAGCGAGCTTGTATTAACATTGAAAATTATTATGATGAGGCCTGTTTTGCATGGGCTATAACTAGTGCGCTTTTCCCTGTAAATGTACATCCAGATCAAGTTTCTTCATACCCTCACTACGCTGATGTATTAAATGTGAAAGATATAACATTTCCTATGACATTACCACAAATCTCGAAATTTGAAAAAAATAATGATCTATCTGTTAATGTATTTGGATTGGAAATGAACTCAAAATCTAATTTCTTGGTTGTTCCCGTTCGCTTAACTAAACATATTTTTGTTCTACCTTGAGATTTTTTTTTAAAAACACTGACGATTTAAAAATAGAATGGTGAATAAGGCTTTTTGAGTTATCTTTTGATCATAGAGTAATCTAGAGGTGGCATCAATCTTCGAAATACTTGAATGTGAGTAGGCAAAGAATTATATACTTACATCAAGCAATTATTTTCATATTAAAGTGCTTGATTTTTTGATTGATATAAAAATCGATTTTGATGTTGTCTTGCGGTAGAGACATA